ATTATGTAAAATCATCATCATCATCAACCACACTGTCATCATCATCATCACCAACACTGTCATTATGTAAAATCATCATCATCATCAACCACACTATCTTCATCATCATCATCACCAACACTGTCATTATGTATAATCATCATCATCATCATCACCACCATCTTCCTACCTAACCTAACCATGATCATCATAAGATAAGAAGGTAATAAAGTGCTGACTTACGTTACAGTATAATCTACATCCTTTGGTGTTCCGAAGGATATCTGAAATGAAACACACATATCGAAAGTTGTGTAACAGTGCTGTACAAACTCATCACAAATAACCATTAGAACCAAATCCATCAGTAAACACCATTCCTGATTTTCCAAAAATAAAAAATCTCTCAAATTGTAGAATTTAAAAGCAAAAATCTAAATTTAGAAGTCTGGCATGTTTGTTTCTATACATGATGTTTATCTATACTATTTAAGAGCTGAAAATTAGACTCAAAATATTCTTTCGATCCGTACAATCCACTTAGCCAAAGTCCATTCCATTCCACCCATGCACGGTTCCGGATTTTCCAAAATAAAAAATCTCTCAAAATTCAGAGTTTAGAAGTATAAATCAAACTTTAGACTAATGGGCATACGTTCACTATACTGTAAGATTATCTATGCCCATTCAAAAGCTCAAATTTGATGATTTTCTTTTTGTGATCCAAGATCCAGTTGATCAACATCCAGTCCATTCCATTCCATCGCAGTTAAGAATTTTTAAAAATATAAAAAGTATAAAAAAATAAAAAAATAAAAAAATAAAAAAATAAAATAATAAAAAAATAAAATAATAACTCATAAAGAGAAACCTAGCTTTGGAGTTTCAGAATCATTTTACCAAGGGGAAGTCTAGCCCAACGTACCTTGGGTTCAATATCAGGTGAGTCAAGCCAGTCATCTATATCATTACTATCATTCTTATTCTCACGCCGTTCAACACTTGTTTTACTTGAACCATCCTTGACTTTTAGCTTTAAACTGTTTTCTTGTGTTTTACTCTTTATTTTCGTACTCAGAGGAGTTGGTTTTAACACTTCTGGCTTTAAGACCTCTGTCTTTTCTTCTTCACCATCATCTTCCTCTTCTTCACTTGATGTTATGTGAACATCGGCAACAGGGGACAGAGGTTTGACTTCAAGTGTTTTAGATGTGTCTTCTGAATGGATGTTTCCATTGGTTAATGTTTCATCATCTGATATGTCTTCTGCAAAGCTTGCGACCATGGGGTTGACGGGCCCTGAATCACTGTCATGAATAATGACAYGTTTCTTATGTAAGCTGATAATATTTAAACAATTTTTTATCAAACTACTCAGTACTATTTGTATAGGAAATCGCACGATCTCGAGTACAATTTGGAAATTAATAGACACGAGTAATGTTTTGAAAGTTCTTGTAATTACACGAGCCTTTAGGCGAGTGCAATTAAAGAACTTTCAAAACATTACGAGTGTCTATTAATTCCAAATTGTACGAGAAGATTGTGTGATTTTTTGTTTATAGTTCACTCAACAAAATTTCAGTAAAAAATGCGCATCAATGCCGTTCATCTTTGTCTATTTGGCGGCCGATTTTCAGTCCATCGCGCAACTGAAATGCATAAAAAAGATTAGTTCTTACAGCTTTAAAATTTTATTTATATGTTTTTTAAGTACAAAATGATAGAAAATAATTGTTTTGATATTGTTTTGGCCGTGTTGCCATAGCGACTTAATTCGGTACTCCTACGGAGTACAATTAACGCTATAATTGTACTCCTCTCGACCAATCAGAGTCGAGTAATTTTGTTGAGTGAACTATAAACAAAAAATTGCACGATCTTCTCGTACAATTTGGAATTAATAGACACTCGTAATGTTTTGAAAGTTCTTTAATTGCACTCGCCTAAAGGCTCGTGCAATTACAAGAACTTACAAAACATTACTCGTGTCTATTAATTTCCCAATTGTACTCGAGATCGTGCAATTTCCTATACTTAAACAGGAACATGTAGAATTTTTCATATCTACTTTTTTGACAAATGAACATGCAGCATTCTGGCATGACTGGCACATAGGGCATAATCAACAAAATATTCTTGTAACCAAGATAGACCGAATGCACCCTGCTTCCTATCCCAGGTCTAGCTTTGATTAACACCATATTAGACATAATAAACGAAAAAATATTTTTACCCAAGGTAGACCACAATGCAATTTGATCCCTACTCCAGGTCTAGCTTTGATCAACACCATATAAGGCATGGTGTACAAAAAATGTTTGCACCCAACCTAGACCAGAATGCAACTTGTTCCCTATCCCAGGTCTAGCTTTGATCTACGACAAATGACTTTATAAACAAAAGATGTTTGTATCCAAGGTAGACCACAATGCAATTTGATCCCTACTCCAGGTCTAGCTTTGATCAACACCATATAAGGCATGGTGTACAAAAGATGTTTGTACCCAACCTAGACCAGAATGCACCTTGATCCCTATCAAAAGACCCATGTCTTACATGTATATAGTTTAATTACCTATCGCTCTCGTCGCTAGATTCACTTGGTGTTTCGTCAACTTCCACTGATTTCTTTTTCTGCTGTTTTTTACTTTTAGGTTTTTCTTTGGCCGAAGAATCTTCATCTAAAAACCCTGCATCTAATTCATCCTCTGGTTTGAATTCTTCGATGTTTGATGGTGTTCCCGCTGAATTAGATGCTGGCTCCAGTTTGGGTATCACTAGGAAAAACACCATCTTATGTGAAGATCTGGAACTACACAGGCAACCCACTATATTATTACTTTACTCACCACAGGTAACCCAAAGTAGACCTATTTGTCATACTCCCTCTTACCTTCATCATTTGGGATGTTTGGTTTAGAGCTTGAAAACCACTTCCTCAGTCCTCCAGGCTGAGAATCTTTACTGTTTGCTGCTGAAAACAGAAGATAAAAATAATGAACCAGTGACTGACTGACTGACCAACCGACTGACTGACTGAGTGACTGCCTGAGTGACTGACTGACTGACAGACAGATTGACTGACTGAATGACTGATTGACTGACTGATTGACTGACTGACTGACTGATTGACTGACTGATTTACTGACTGACTGACTGACTCACTGGCTGATTGACTGGCTGATTGACTGACTGACTGACTGACTGACTGACTGACTGACTGACTGACTGACTGAC